AAAAAAAAAAAAGGAAAGGAAAACATATATGGAATACTTAACCCCTAATACAAAAGCAGTTAGAGGTGGGGCTTTTGAAAGGTAATTAGGATTAGCTGGGGTCATATGATGGTGATATGGTGATATGGTGGTCATTTGGTGGCAGGATTAGTGCCCTTATAAAAAGAGATACTACTGGAGAGTCTGTTCTCTCTCCAGCTCCTCATACACTAAGGGACAGTTCCATGAGAACACGGCAAGATGCCAGCCATGTGAAGCCAAAAGACCCCTCATCAGACTCTAACCATGTTGGCTGCTTGATCTTGGACTTCAACCTCCAGAACGGTGAAAAAATAAACGTTTGTTATTTAAGAAAAAAAAAACTATAGTTTTGTTGTGGAAGCCTGAGCTGACTGATATAACTCCTGAATCTGCACTTGGTAAGCTGGCCTATCAAAATGTTTTTAGTACCATTAGAGTGATGAAATGGAGGAAAAACAGAAACATGCCCTCAGTCTCTGAACTGAATGTGGTGTATACAATGTTACATAGGCAAAAATGATACAGAAAAAGCGATTCGCAAGCTTGGTTACACACTGGCCTTGTCTGGAAAGATTTTCAAAATACTGGTGACTGGGTCCTATACATTCTGAGCTGTAGCCCTGAACACTGAGATTTTATTACAGATAATCCTTGGTTCCTACCTGTAGAAATGCTTCTGTACAAAGAGATATATGTGTACTGAATCCTCTCGCACAGCAGTAGTCATGCAAGAAGAGTACTGGACATTTTGATGTACAAGGACTTCAAAGTGGCCTACACGTGAGCAGGTGGATATGAACACACACACATACACACACAGCTCACTTAATGTGCACAAGACGATCAAAGTAGTAAAAATGCCTGGTAGTATAATTGAAGAGATGTCTTTGAGCAATCTGAGTTTCGCTCTTCTAAACAATAAACTCATGGGCTGGGGATTAAGCATTTAGCTCAGTGGTTCTGCTGCCTGCCTTGCAAGCACAAGGTCCCGAGTTTGATCCCCAGCAACCGTCCTCCCCAAGAAAAAGAAAAGAAAAACTAACAATATACTCATTATAAATAGAAAGTGGACA